GGATAAACGGGGGGGAAGAACCTTAACAAAAAGGGAAGTGGCAGTGAAACAGGACACTATACTAGGACGATACTGGAGGGGGATGCCACAATGGGGTATAGCATTCTTAAATACGCATTCCGACAATAAGATAAAATGTAAATGGCTATTTCACTCGCGCAATTACGCTAAGGGCAGTGTATAGGTTTTTTCAGTATTCGATTACACCACTCTCAAGGCAGTCATAGGCATAGATCACGTTCTGGTGCGGGCGCTTTATGGAACCACTTCCTCCTCCTGGGAGGGAAAGGCTCATCGCCTCATTTTCACTTGTCCAACCTACCTGTGGAAGGAGTTGATGACTTCAGAACTCCGCGTCTACCGGTATACAAAGCTACACTTTGAACCACTTTTTCTTATTAGATTTGGTGAAAAGGTAAGATTTTGGTGAAGGGTTGACCAGTGGAGAAAAGCCAAGGAGTGTTCATCCATGTGTTCTAGCCCCAGAATCCCCGACATTCTCGCTTAATCACTCCCACAAGGGGAAATGGTTTTGGGGGCTCCACTCCCAAAAGTCGGGGATTTCGGGGCTTGGGAGTCGGCTCTCCACTTTTTGGGAGTCGTTTAACCAAGCCCCTAAATTAAAACACTCACATCTTTCATAAATTTTATCTCAAAATATTTTTAAAAAGTGCAGCTGCTTTATGAGGAAACACCATGTCATGAATTTGAACCACCATGCACCCAGATAAATTGCATAATTTTTGTAGTTGTACAGTGTGAAAAGCACTTTCTTCAGTGCAGAAAGTAAGTCTGTTTTATTTTTAAAAAGTCAAATCTGAGGACAGGTTGGAAAAAAAGGAGATGTTCTGTGCAGTGACAGGAAACAGGCTTGAATTACCCTGGATCAGGTTTGATGTGTGTGGCCAATTAATTTCCAGCAAATCAGTGTTGCTGACACTTGTGGGGGCTCCGTATGCAGTTACCAACCCATTGGTGATTGAAAGTCATGTTGCATACTTCACAACGTTCAAAACGACGGAGGCGGTTTTCATCACACGGTAAGTGTTCAGTTGTGCTGCGTTCACAGGTGTAGGAAGTATTACATGTTTGGTGTACAATCTCTCTGTGACTCCTTGGGTGGGTGCAGAGAATTTCACCGTACAGGAGGTTCCCTGGAGGCACACCAATTGTCTGGGCCCGGATGCCCGTAATTGCTACAAGGATGGCCAGCTTCAAACACTTCATCATAATCTGGCACATGAAGGTGTAATTTGTTTGGGAGAGGGAATTGAACACAGGAGGTTTCGAGTGAGACACAGTTGAGAGGCCAGACAGCTAAGCCAAGAGGCATGGAAGTGATCTGCTTGGTTCTGAAGCTATGTATGTGCCACCAAAATCAACAGCAGTCTCATCCTATTTGCCAGCATATCTGAAGTCTTTCCTCCCAAAGGGCCAGACAAGACATCAAAACAAAAGGCGTGTGGTGGTCCTTTGATCCATTGGGCATGAAATACTTGCAAATGACACTCAAGGTGTTAGAGGTTGTAGCACGTGACCCTTGCTCCAACTGCAAACATTGGGGGGGGGTTAAGCCTTAAGAAAATCCAATTGAAGGGGATTTATTGAGGTTTCAAACGTAAAATGTGGTTTTGATATACTTGCAGTGTTAAGATACAGACTTTTTCCAGCCCCAAAACAGAAATCTTCTAATTCTTTCTTTGTTGCTGGTAATTTCAAATTGTTGTATCCACTCAAATCATTCAAAAATATAAGCTTTCTCACTGCAGTGTTATAACTGGTGAATGTATTCCAACACCATCACAATAGCAAATGAGCATTAAAAGCTGAGATTGTGTGATGAGTTGTACTTATTGCTGTGAAAGATTTTAATTTATTTAAATGACTTGTTGTCTTGAAGAATCTAACATGATTGTTTCACCCCACATCAGCCAATACCACAACTTTGTTAAATGAGAATTTCTTGTGTTTGATTTTTTCCTTTTGTTGAGCAACTTTTAAATTCCAGTAGCCGCACTGACCTCGTTCCAAATCAAACCAATGAATGTTTGTTCTTATGAAAACACAGACCGTTTTGTTTGATTTATCAAGACATCTAATTTGATTGAGAGTTCAATGATAGGTGCCATATCAGTCTGCAAGGCATGAGTTTTTGAGGAACGGGTTATCATCAACCCATCCCAAGATTTCAACTAGATCAAATTCATTCTCCATAATCTTCTTTCAGGCCTCAGAGAGCTAGACAAGTTGTTGGAAGAAGATTAGTCTTTTAAATTGTTAGTAAGATGTCTTAGATTTATAGGTTTTTGTCACAAGGCTTGGGCTCCTTTCATCTTATGGATTTCATACCTGAGTGTTAGGGCTTTTTTGTGCCAAAACAATCTCGTTTTACTTAAAATAATGGTGATCATATTATTACAATGACACCTACTACAATTAGAATATATTCCTGTGGTCCCTAAAGCCTTGAAAAAGATGGTGAATAGGTTCAAATGAAAATGACCATATCTTGATTGATCAAATAAACAAGATTTAGTTCCCACCCACACTTGGATAGCCGGAGGAACTTGTTTCTGAATCTAATCCTAAGGCATGTGCTGGGGCACATTTCTAACAAGAGTACCATAGGAATGAGTAGAGTGCTAAATGGATGTATAAGGGTACCTGATCCAGGCACAAAGATCAGAAAGGTGCTGAAGTCCATGTGCGTAGATAAGATTGACAAGTGTTTTTTTGAGTGGCTGGTCAGTTTTGAAATGACTTGCCATTGGATCTGGGGCCCTCTGAGTTTTTTTGGTTTCAGGCCAGAAGAGGCCAGGTTTTTGCAGGCAAATGGATGTCTTCCCGTCGCGGTTTACAACCCTCCCAGAATTGAATTTACACCCCCAAGATCTTAATTTTTGGTGTAAGAAATTGTTTTTTTGCAAGCCTTGTGATGATACCTCTCACATGAGCTGGTTGGAATCATGATTGGGGTGTTAATTTTAGACTGGGGAGGGCTTAAAAAGCACTCTAAATGGCGACGGGAAGTCCTCCAATCTAGCTGTTGAGACTCTTGTAAATCTAAACTGGCAGATCCACATATTTTAAGGGGAAGTGGATGACTTGCTGTTGCAATTTACACCTTCCAGATTTTGAATCTGATTTACACCTCTCAGGTCTTGATTAAGATTTTTTTTTTACTCTTGTTTTTCAAAAGCCTTGTGGTCATGGCTCTCATGTGTGCTGGTTGGTGTTGTTATGGTTGCGGTCTTAAAATAGGACTTTAGAGGGGCTCAAAAAGCACCGGGAATAGTAATGAGTCCTCCAATATTCCAATCACATGCGCGATGGGCCAGGGCGGGCCTCGCGGAGCCAGGGCTCCGGGGCGCTCGGCTTCAACCACAGTTTGACCCCAGCTTCCTCTCTTCAACAATATAGCATTCGAATCACCTGCAACAAGATTATCATCAAGCTTGAACTCAAGCCAACAAGTTATGAAAGAACGAACGAAAGAAAGAAAGAAAGAAAAAGGAATGAGTCTACACCGACATGGACATACATGTCGATCTTGATCCAGGCCGATGATCATGGCCCTTGCCGGGCGTGTATTGTACAGATTGCAGGTTGATCGGAGACAGTTTACAGGAATACAGCAACCACACATGATGTTCCCGATTGAGTTGTTGGAGGTTTTGCGTGATCAATCAATCAAATCAATTCAAGAGATTCAAAACGGAACACAGTTGAAATCAGAAACATTCAAAAAGTGGCTTGCAGGAAAAGGTGCAATTACAACTGGATTACATACCCCAATCAAATAAAACTGTTCCAGAAGCAGACCCATTTCGAGAGAACTTGCAGCCAGAAAAAAAAACCAATCTTGGGAATCGACCGACCAGCGACCTATTCATAGAATCAACAAGATTTGCCAGAACAGAAGAGAGAAACAAACTTAAAAGAAAAGCGAGTTTCCATAAACACAAGATGGTCAACAGGCTCCTCTCGAGTGCTCCTTGGTTCCGTCGAGCCCAACTACTCACCACTACTCCCCCCGCCAACAAAAAACTAAGCCCACTCCTACAACAACTACCCTCATCAACCAGCGCACCACTTACCCAGCTTCGATCAAATACTCCTGCATCCAGGATGACTCTCTCTACCAAGTCATACAACCAGTCCTTGTACACCCCGCTGGCTGAATACGACGTGCGTATCGACTCTTACTCTGACTGTCGATCTTGACTGATACCCCTCTCATCTATGTAGCCTGAAGTTCAAAACATCATCAACGATGAAACCTATCGTCAATTCTCAGGCTTGGAGTTGATCGCATCCGAGAAGTAAACCCATCTATCTCTCAATCGATTCTAAAGACTAATTGGCCTTGTTTTTTTTTGGCATAGTTTAACCTCCTTAGCAGTCATGGAAGCCAACGGATCGATCCTGACCAACAAGTATTCTGAAGGACTACCGGGAGCAAGATATTATGGCGGGAATGAACACATCGATAAGCTGGAGATCTTGTGTCAACAAAGGGCCTTGAAAGCCTTCAGATTAGACCCCAAAGTATGGGGTGTTAATGTTCAACCTTACTCGGGTTCTACTGCCAAGTAAGTATTTCTTTTCCTATCTCTTTTTCAAGAAAAAAAAAAACGAAAAACCAAACCAATAATGACTAATGTGAGAACGATTTTTTTTTTCTTTAAAAAAAAAAGTTTTGCGACGTTCACAGCATTAATCAACCCACAAGACCGAATCATGGGTCTAGGTTTACCGGATGGGGGGCATTTAACGCATGGATTCTACACGGCGAAGCGCAAGATCTCGGCCTCCTCGATCTATTTCCAATCGTTCCCGTACAACATCAATCCATCGAGCAAGTTGATCGACTACGAGTACTTGGAACAGACCGCCAAGGTCTACAAACCGAGGATCCTGATCTGTGGCGCTAGCGCTTACCCTCGTGATTGGGACTACAAACGTCTTCGAAAGATCGCCGATGATCAGGGCGCTTACTTAATGATGGATGTAAGTTTTCCTCCTTCTCTTGTTCCCCTTCTGCTGCTGCTACTTACTCATATCATATTTTTTCATTTTATTTTATAGATGGCTCATATCTCAGGATTAGTAGCGGGACAAGTACAAAACAACCCGTTTGAAGAATGCGACATAGTGACGACGACGACGCACAAGACCTTACGAGGCCCACGGGCGGGCCTGATCTTTTTCCGCAAAGACAAGGACGAGACGATCGAGAGTCGGATCAACAATGCCGTCTTCCCCGCCTGTCAAGGAGGGCCCCACAACAACACGATTGCCGGGATCGCAGTCGCGTTGAAACAAGCTGCTGATCCTAGCTTCCAAGAGTATGCTAAGGCGGTCATCGAGAATAGCAGAGCTCTGGCTGCTCGACTCGTCGAGTTGGGCTACAACCTTCAGACCGATGGGAGTGATAACCATCTCGTGCTTTGGGACCTTCGTCCGATCGGACTCACCGGCTCCAAGGTCGAGAAGATCTGCGATCTATGTCAGTCTGCTTGCTCTCTCCTCTTCCCCCCCTTTGCGCCTTTTGTCAATTGCTCTCTGGATATTGATAATTTTTGTTTCTTAGGCCACATTACGATCAACAAGAATGCAGTATCAGGGGACACATCGGCGCAAGTACCCGGAGGCGTGCGTCTGGGCACCTCGGCCTTGACCTCGCGATCGATGGGTCCTCAAGAGATGGTAGAGGTGGCCAACTTCATGCATCGGGCCGTCCAGATCGCGCTCGTCTTGCAACAGGAAGCCGGCTCTAAACAGCTCAAGGACTTCCTTCTTAAAGCCACTCAGGGCGATGGACAGGGAAAGAAACTGCTCGAGCAGTTGCATCTCGATGTCGGCCAATTCAGTCGTCGGTTCGGACTCCCCGGCGTCGACGTCAACTCGATCAAAACTCCCGACATCAAGTCTTGATCTCTTCCTCTTCCTCGTTCCACATCATCTATATATCGTTCTTCTCATTTTTTTTGTTTACTTGAGCTCATCTCTCTATCTCTCAATATCTTTATCATTCATATCCTTCTTTACTTCTTCCAATTCTTGAACTATTTTCTTAACCAAAAACAAAACAAAATATGAAATGAAATGCATTACTCATGATGAAGAAGAAGCTGAATCCAAACAGCCCAACTCATCCACATATATCATAGCGTGTGTGTGTGTGTGTTTTTCAGCCTCATCTGAAAGAGCTACCACCTCATCCACCAGAGTCCATGGAATCAGGATGGTTGGGTCACCCCTGTTACTTTGGGCTGATTGGTTTGCATTCTAGTGCTTCAAAGCACAAACTTCACGTCACAAGAACTTGGCCAAGTGGTGCAGAATATGTAGGTCCCAGAAAATGAATATGAAAAAAAAAAGTTTCACACATTTTGTGAAACATTTTTTTTTTTTTTTTTTTTTTTTCAAAAGCTTTCAAGTGCTGAAAGAAACAAAGAGTGGAACATGGCAAGAATGATTATAAATGAAAAAAAAAAAAAATTGTGCCAGGTTGGTTGTCCATGATCAGAGTGTTGTCAACCCAGTGAATTCTAGTGCTTAATTACTGCAACGTGAGATGGTGGTGAATGTCCCACTCAACATCAACTCATGGTCAAAACTATCTAGTGGTACCCACTTGTTTTTTTTCCAAAATCTTCATTTATAATCATTCTTCTCATATAATTTCCCTTTTTTTTTCTTTCTTTCTTTCTCTTTGCACTCACATTTCCCCAAAATATCAAAGCTGTTGAAAAAAAGTTAACAATCATTTTTTATTTTTTATTTTTCACAGAAAATTTGATTTTTTTTTTGTTTTATATTCATATTCATTTTTTGGGAGCTATATTGTGGACCACGTGACCAAGTCTCAAGAGTGCAATCTGGTGCTTTGAATCTCTGGGATCCGAAACAAGCGGCCAAAAATAGTGGTACACAACAGCTTGAAGGTGGAGCAAGAAGCGATCTGACTGAACTAAGCATCCCTGCAGGACTGGAGAGGTGCAGAGCATCTCCCATTCCCAATGGGGGCGGCTTATGAGTTATTGTAGCTTAATTCCTGCTCAAGAGCTTCCAAGAACGTGTGGCTTTTGGAGAAAAAGTTCCAATCAAGTAACATTATGAGACGATGAGGTGAAGGGCAGTTTGTGTTGAGGGTGACAAGGGACAAACACTGAAGTTCACAGACGTAAAGTTGTGTGACACTCAGGAGTGAGAAAAGAATGGTTCAGTTTCACTAAGGAGAGAAACGCCTGCAGCAACCTAGTATAGACTATATACAATGTTGCTGGTGTTATGTTTGAAGCATACTGTATAATGAATATAAGCATAATTCAACAGCTTGTAGCTCATCATCTCATGTTCAATGTACCATCACTTTCTCCCTACCTAAACTTGGAGGAGGGTGCTGCTCTTGCCCAGAAGCTGAGGTGGATGGAAGATGGAATTTTGTATCACGATTGAGTCTGCATGGAATTTTTGGGAATTCTCACACATCACTCTGGTTAAACACACACAAAAAAGGAAAGCTTCAAAGGGGGAAGGGGGGAGTGTGCGAAGGAGGAAAAATAGGTGATTGACACCAAAAAAAAAAGAGAATTAAGGCCTTGAGTTTGATACCACAGAGATCAATAATTTGTGGGGAGAAAGCAACCAGATAAATGAGGGCAATTTTTCTCCCACCACAAATGCAAAAGCTCCCAAGCCAAAAAAAAAAAAAAACAGATATAACCTGGAAGTCCCTCCTTTGGAAGTTGTGCTTTGCGCCTGTCCTGTTCCAGGGCCCTCTGAAGCGAGGGACTTGTGTTAAGTCAGGGTGGGATGTCCATGTTCAAAAACTTGCAAAGCTCAGGCTTGTTCTGAATTCTGAAGCAGCAGATGTATGTATTCACAACTGCACTTGGGTCATGATTTGAGCTTGCAGTTTATACAGCTGTTCTGGGAAAGCTTGTCCAATCTGAAAAAAAAAACAATCATCCTCAAATTGTTTTTTTTTTTCCTCTAGTAGTCATAGTCATATGCATAACCCACATCCACTCATCCGGAATAGAGATGTCGCTTCATACCCGGGTACCTGTAGCAGGTGCGGGTACCTGCCTTAAAAATCCAATATTTTGGACACCCGCACCTGCCAGGTGTGCCAGGGCGGGTACCTGGGCCGGGTACCTGCGGGTGTGGAGGATTTTTTGCGGGCAAATATACCCAGAAATCTCACCCTTGAATTCTTGCATGGATTACCAAATATATGATTGAAATTCACTAGATATATGAGTAAGAGTAACATAGAAATAGGGGCTTGGAAAATAGAGATGTCGCTCAATACCCGGGTACCTGTAGCGGGTGCGGGTACCTACCTCAAAAATCCAATATTTTTGACACCCACACCCGCACCCGCACCTGCTAGGGCAGCCAGGGCGGGTACCTGGGTACCTGCACCGGGTACCTGCAGGTACCTGGCACATTTTTGCAGGCAAATATACCCAGAAATCTCACCCTTGAATTTCTGCATGACTTGGTAAATATAAGATTAATATTCACTAGATATATGAGTAAGAATAAAATAAAAATAAAGAAATAAAGAAAAACAAATTATTCCATCACCAATTTGAATTTTATCTTCTCTCTGATCTATCTTTAGCTTTACCCTTTTGCTTGGCCTCATTTGCCTTATTCAATGTCCATTGATGAAGACTGTAAACCGTCTTTATGACTGGAGGAATTCCTCCAGTCATCAAGACTGTACACCATCTCAAAGGCCGGAGGGAACCCTCCAGCCTCAACAAAGCAACCAGATTAGTTCAGCAACACATGTAAGACACCAGCTGGTGTCCTACATGGGTTGCTGACACCTTTGTGCAGCCCAACACATCCAAAAAAGGGAGTTTTGGACCACCAATGATAAATGAAATTCTTCAGGGGAAGCATTGTGGAACTTTTCAAGCTAAAGAAAAGAGCTTAGAGGGGAAAAGAACAACTACACAGAGGTAAATGTGAGTTGAAGACTTGGATGCTGATGAAGCTGCCCTCTTGTCAAGGCTTGGGAGAGAGTTACACTAAGAATTAAAGAAAAGGTGTGGCTATTTCTGTGGGTAATCTTAGTATGAGATTTATTACTGATGTCTTGTACAAGTCACCTGCTGAGAGATTGAGGATGTGGGGGATTCTGGTAAGGATGAGGCTCTGGGGGATAATGGTTTCTGGGTTCAATTTCTTATCTTCTGGGGGAAAATCAATAATAATTACTTCTGGTAACTACTAGTAAGTGATGTCTGCTAAGTAATTATCTGTTTACTTATCTAATGCAAGCATGGGGAACAAAGTAAGTGGGAAAGGGTATTCTCTATATACATGTGGGTGGTTCTGATCAGATACTAGTGGTAAGATATCAGCTGATGTAAGAAGATGGTATGAAATAAGTTGTATATGAAAGACAATTGGTTATGAAATAAATGTGGCTGATAAATGCGTAGTGTGAAATAAACATGTTGAAAAGGAGAAAATATGAAGTAACTTCTGTTTGTGATAAAAATAATATGTAGTGCAAAAAGAAATGAGATAATCAAAGACTGAAATAAATATTCTGAGGTGAGATGAGAAATCTGTGTGGTGAAATATATATGTAGGTGATATAAGCAATGAGTAATGAGTTGAAATGAGATGTATGATGAGAATGTAGGTGATATAAGCCATGTGTATTGAGTTTTGAAATGGAATGTAAGAATGAAATACTTGTAGTATGAAATAAATGTAGAATAAAATAAATGTAGAATGAAGTAATTGATGTATGAAAAGAAGTGGATGATGAGTGAGATGAGATGACAATATCTGGATGAGAAATCAGATGTATGGGATGAAACAGTATATGTAGTCTGAATAAGTGATATCTGAGATGAAATAAATAACATTTACTGAAAGATTATTATCATAGAAAGAAGGTACTGAGGGAAGACTAATTTGTATCTTGAGATGTGTGATATGTAGTATGTTGTAGCTATGTAGTACTATATATTATGTAACCAAACTATGTAAAAAATACTGTTTTGTAACCTTCTGAACTGGGTACAAGATAATGGGTTATGTAGCATGTGCATATCTGGTTGTAATAACATGAAAACTACTATAAATAGCTATTTTGTACTATATATGACCTTGATTGGTCTCACCACAGCATTCCCAGGGCGGGTGTAAGGCGGGTACCCGGGTACCTGCCTTTTTTTACCGCAAATGTTGACACCCGCACCCACACCCGGTACCTGTTTCCGGGTACCTGCTTTGGAAAACAGGTACCTGCAAACGGGTACCGGGTACCTGCTGACATCTCTATTGGAAAAACGACTCCCAAATTTTAGTCAACAACTCCCGTTTTGGTCGGGAGTCGTTCTTCCAATTCCCGAAAAAACATAGGGAGTTGTCGCACTAATTTTACCTGGAGAATTTTTATTTTTTTATTAAAAAAATAGGGAGTCGACCGCCTAAAGTGCGGGAGTCGGCGCACCAATTCCGCCTAATGTTTCACCCTTTTTTATATTTAAATTGACGGGAGTCATCCACCTAATACGAGGGAGTCGTCGCACCAATTCCGCCAAATGTTTTGCCTTTTTTTTTCTATATTAAAAAAAGACGGGAGTCGTCCAAATAGAAATGGGAGTTGTTGCCATATGGCACCCTCAGAGACTCCAAAAAAGGTTGATCCACTGAGGCCCCACCCCAAAGGCAATTTATCAATGATAAAAAAATTAGATTGTTTGAGAAAAACCATTGCAAGAGATAAAAGAGATGACAAACGGGCCAAAAACATTCAAAAATGATCAGAAATGTAAGAAAAAAAACAGGGTAAGAAAGGACATAGAGGAAAAAAATCAAAAACTAAAAAAGACACAGGATAAAAAAAACCCTAGTAGTGTTTCATTGGATTTTCTATTTTCCTCTCGACAGTCAATTCGAAAGAATCAGAAAATTGGGCTTCCCATCCCCAAGCCTCTTCTGACGCCTTTTCTTTCCACTCCTTCATGAGCTGAGGGGCAGCAAGCAGTCTTGGTTTATGTAACTGCAAGGGGACAAAATGAGAAAATTCATGTAGAAAAGCAATAAAAATAGGGGGGTTGTCATTGGGGGGGGCAGAAAGAAGGAAGAAAAGTCTGGCAAAAGGTGTCAGAAAAAAAGCATT